TGGATGGATGAATGATGGATGGATGGATGATGGATAGATGAATGATGGATGGATGGCTGTATGTATGATGGATGGATGAATGATGGATGTATGTATGATGGATGTATGTATGATGGATGGATGAATGGATGTATGATGGATGGATGGATGAATGATGGATGGATGAATGATGGATAGATGAATGATGGATGGATGTATGAATGATGGATGTATGATGGATGGATGGAGTCCAATTTAAAGAATCTGTGTTCAAATCCTCCATGTTGACTGTTAAAGTTCTGAAGCAGTTCCGTCCAACTTCCAGTGACCTGCTGGTTCTGAAGCCTGAGCCGAGGTCCAAACAGGACTCGTGTCCAACACCACTGACGTCCGTCGGGTCGTTCCTTACTGGTTTTTGTTTGTGCAGATTTATTGTAAGTGGTACCAGAACCAGCAGAGTCGCTCGTCTTCAGTTGGCTTCATTTCTAAAGCGCTTCACTCCACGACGTTCCAAACATTCATACCATTAATTCATAGTCGTTATTTATCTGTGTGTAAACTTTATTTACGGTTGAGCATGCATCAGGATATTTATTTACGGTTCCATGTGTGGATGGAGAAGCTGAGATGTTTCTGTGCTGCAGGTTCCATCTTGCTCAGTAAATATTTCTCTGCAGCTCTCGTCCTGCTGTTACAGAAGAAGGTCGTTTTAGGACGGAGCTCCATCTTCGACGTTCAAAGTGTGAAAATGACCCGAGTTTCTCTTCGGACCCAACTCAGTTTGTGTTTATGTTTGTTGTGTTGTTTGTGTTTACATTTTGCTTCTTTAAAAAGGATCATGTCGGGTCCAACAGGAACCTGCAGAACCTCTCCCGCAGCCGATGATTCAGGTGAAAACTGGAGAGTTCAGCTGCTTTCTTACGTAAGCCCTGGCCTGAATCCCTTCCCGTCTCCATGGCGACAACATCCAGCAGCTGCTGTGCAGGAATGTGGACCGGTCTGCAGCGGTGCCGACGGTCCATCAGTACCGCTCTGAGGGGAACAGTTGTTTTTACTGAGAAACCTTTGATCTTTTTCATGTTTTATTGAAATGACATCCCCTCTCAGATTAAAACTGGGATTATAATTTCATTCATCTTCAGGATTATTCACTGAGACTCGGTTTGAGCAGATGTTTCCTAAAATGCGTCACATCACCGAACTCTCTCCTCCCAGCACCTCCTGGTTGTGTAAGCAGCTCGCGCTCCTCTCCTGCCGCAGTGAAGGAAACCCCTCTCTCCGCTCCGCCGCCATGTCCTTATAAGGACCGGGGGATACCCGCCGTCACGGCCGGAAGATGCCCATATTTGGGCAGCTACGCGAGGTTCGGCGGGGGGAATCCCTCGCGCCGGCGTCTGACCAATGAGGCCGGGCCGGGAGTTACCTTGGAGACGGAGAGTATAAAACGGAGCGCGCGCGGAGGGAGCTCAGCATCCTCAGCATCAGCGAGCGGATTAACGGAACCGAGCCGGACCCAGTACCGGATAAACCCTGATCATTTTATTACCATAACAGAGGGGGGACCCCGCTGTCACATCTGTCACATCTGTCAGCATGCTGCTGGAGCGCGAGGACAGCTTCATGTCGGAGTTTGAGGACGCGTGCAGCGCCTGGGTGGACAGCGTGGGCTCGAGCCGCAGTGACGGTTCGGACTCGGATGTTGGGTCACCGTTCAGCCAAGGTGAGAGTTTTAATCATGCATGTGCACGCGCACACCCCAGTGATGCTGATGCTATTATGCAATGACTGACTCCCCCTCCTCCCCCTCCTCCTCCAGTGTTCTCCCCCGGAACCGACGCCTCGGACTCGGACTTCTTCTCGGACTTCAGTGACTGCTCCTCGGACACGCTCTCCCCGTCTCTGGGCTACACCGGCAGCTTTTTCAACGAGCCGGAACCGGAACCGGCTGCGGCGGGACTGAGCAGCACGGCGGACGCGATCCTGACGATGATCACGGAGATCGTGGGGATCTGCACGGAGATGGAGCAGCAGCAGATCGACGCCCCCACCCCGGACCTCAGCACCCCTCCCCCGGCTGCAGCCCCGCAGCTTCCCGCCGGAACCGCTCCGGTTCTGGTGAAGAGCGAGTTCGTGAGCTCCAGCTGCAGCAGCCGGTGCTCGCAGCCCTCCGTGGCCGGCAGCGACGCTCTGTTCCCGGCGTGCGCGGACTCGCTGCTCCCGCTGTCCGCCCTGGAGGTGGACGTGTCGGACCTCATGGAGTCTCTGGGCTCCGAGGAGCTGAAGCAGGAGCCGCCGGGCCCGGAGGACTGGAGGAGGAGTCTCCCGGCGCCCGGTACCGGCGGAGATTCCGGCAACTACGTCATCAGCAGGCCCGCCATAAAGACTGAGCTCGTGCAGGGCGACCTCCTGTACACCCCCTCCACACTGGACGCGCACCTGCTCGCTTCCCTCCTGCAGGGCGCGTTCCCGATGATCAACATCAGCGCCGTGCACGCGCCCAAGCAGCCGCGCGCTGGCCGGAGAGCTCCCGCCAAGAGCGGGCTGAAGGCCAAGCCGTTCCCGTGCTCCGTGCACGGCTGCGAGCGCCGCTTCTCGCGCTCGGACGAGCTCAACAGGCACGTGCGCATCCACACGGGCCAGAAGCCCTTCCAGTGCACGATCTGTGCGCGCAGCTTCAGCCGCAGCGACCACCTGACCACGCACACGCGCACGCACACCGGGGAGAAGCCCTTCTCCTGCGACGTGTGCGGCAAGAGGTTCGCGCGCAGCGACGAGAGGAAGCGGCACGGGCGCGTACACGTCAAGCAGCAGCTGCGCGCGCAGATGATGGCCGCCTATTCCCTGGCCCTGAACGCGCCCGGCGTGTAAAAGGCGCGCGCTCCCGCTCCTGGAATCAATTTGAAGCTTCGGGATTTGAACCGACAACCGGAAGTACACGTGACGTCACACCGGTTTGCAGGTGCCCAGAGGCGCATGCGTGCTGCAGTCCGCCTGGAGGACGGAGCAGGTGTCGAGCCTGGCCCGGCTGCTGCCTGGAGGACTTTAAAGGGGCAGTCCGGCTAATTAAAGGAGGTCCTGCTGTAAAATAAGGACAAGATGTTTCTGCATGACGTAACAAACTGTGGATGATGCCGTCAGAATGTTGTGCCGCTGTTCTTCATACTTTTCTGTAAACAGCTTTATATCTACGGAGTTCTATGTTTGTAAACAAACATCTATTTTTCTAGTGGATCGTCTCTACCTCTGTGTCACAACTTTTCTATGACGGGATGAACTGAGCACCCTGAGGTGCAGGCTGCAGCTGCACCGGTGCATTGTGGGATATGTTGTCCTGTGAGAGCTGAGCTCTGAGGAGCAGGTTTTTAACTGTCGCCTCGTTCTGCATGGAGGCTGCTGTGCTGTCAATAAACAAAAACAAACAAACAACCAGATAAGACTGCTTCTTCTGAGTCTTCTTCACTCTACACTTCATCTTCGTCACTCCACCCTTCATCTTCATCACTCTACACTTCATCTTCGTCACTCCACCCTTCATCTTCGTCACTCTACACTTCATCTTCGTCACTCCACCCTTCATTTTCATCACTCCACCCTTCATCTTCATCACGCCACCCTTCATCTTCATCACTTTAACCTTCATCTTCATCACTTTAACCTTCATCACTCCACACGTCATAGAGACTCATGGCAGCGGGTGATAAGCATTTCCTGTCTCTCACGTCTTCATCGCTTTACATTTCATCTTCATCACTCCACCTTTCATCGTCATCACTGCAGCCGTCATGGCGGCGGGCGATAAGCATCTCATCTCTCTCACATCTTCATCATTTGCAGTAAGAAGTGGTTTGCTGTCAGCCTCCTCATCCTCCCATCAACAGGCAGCTGTTGCCCAGCAACAAACGAGCTCGTTAACAACTCAGGCTATGAGCTGTGGAGGCTGCGTTGCCACGGTAACAGGTTTCACCCACGCCATGCTGCTGTGTGTGTTCTGTTGTTTTCTCTTTGAGATGAGAATCGCCTCACAGTTTGTGGGTATTTCATGTGAAGAATATCTTCATCCCTGCAGCTGAGGATGAGGAAGATGATGATGAGGAGGAGGACGAAGACTAAAACTAATCAGAGTTCAGTGGTTCTCTGATGAAGAGCGCCCTCGTGTGGTCTTCATCAGCTCTGCATGAGAATTAAAACTTCTCTGAAGCATCAGGACTACAGCTCCATCTTCATCCGGCGTTAATGGTGGAGGTCAAAGGTCACAGGTCCGAATAAAGGTAACGATGGAGGTCAAAGGTCAGACTGAAGGTGACGATGGAGGTCAAAGGTCACAGGTCCAAATAAAGGTAACGATGGAGGCCAAAGGTCAGACTGAAGGTGACGATGGAGGTCAAAGGTCACAGGTCCGAATAAAGGTAACGATGGAGGTCAAAGGTCAGACTGAAGGTGACGATGGAGGTCAAAGGTCACAGGTCC